AGGACCCAGTTACTTCCAAATCCAGGACGCACATAAATTACCTCCCATAGTTCACCTTGATGGGGCTGGAAATTTAGCTATGCCCCCGTGTCCACTAGAAAATCAGTCGATCATCTAACTAGGCAAAAAGACACGTAAGCGGAGCCTAACTTTTAGGTAAGAATGTCATTCACATGCATTATTCCTAATAAATGTCAACTACACCCACTGCCGTTAGGTCGATTCTGACGCACAGCGGCCCCCTAGGGTTTCCAAGGCGGTAAATCTCTGCAGAAGCAGACTGCCACATCTTTCTCCTACGAAGCTGCTGCTGGTTTCAAACCACCAATCTTTTGATTAGCAGTTGATCACTTTAACCACTGTGCCACCAAAAACCAAACCCGTTGCTGTCAAGTCGAGTCTGACTCATAGCCACCCTACAGGACAGAGTAGAACTGCCCCATAGGGTTTCCAAGGAGCAGCTGGTGGATTCAAGCTTTCGACCTTTAGGTTAACAGCCGAATGCTTAACCACTGTGCCACCAGGGCTGCTTAATAAATGTCAAACCAGGGAAAATAAAAAAGTCACATTACAAGCGTAACGGATTGTTTGCGTAACAGTCTGCTTCCAGTCACAGAGGAACATGAAAAGAATCAAAAGCCAAGCCAAGCGCCTGGACAGAAGGACGCTGAACTAGTCCAAAGGCAGGGGTTCCAGCTGGGCTCAGCACAGCTCAAGATCAACTCCTTTCAGCCAGGAGGCGATCTGCAGGAGACAGGGTGTCTGTCGGCTGCTTCCACCTCCCTGATGACTCTGTGCTGGGCTCTGTGGGAGCTGGGCTTAGGGTCAGGGAAGTCCTCCAGACTGTGCGTAAATGGTGTGCGTCGCCAGAGCAGTGCCCGCGTCGGTTTTATTTACCCAGGGAGCCTTCAATCCCGAGGTAGCGTCTGACATCTTATAAGTTATTTATGCGCATTAGCTGTTTGTCAGAGGAGTGCATGTATGTGGAATGAGCTGGTCCGAAAGATTAGGCCTTGGCCAGAGCTGGAGGGCTCAGGGAGGCTAGAGTATTCGGAGCTCCTGGCCCTCCCTGGAGTCTCTGCATCCCCTGTTGTGGGGTTCAGCTCTTCTCAGGTTTCCCTGATCTACATTTCTTTCTCATTGGGCATCTGTCATTTATGGCTGGGCTGCTCCTTCATCCTTCTCTTCACTTCCGTACCTTGCTCCTGCCCAGGACCTTCTACCGGTCACAAAACAAAACAGACCAGAAACAAGACAAGTAAGAACACCCTGAGAATGCTGAGGTCCAGGCATAGAATCCACCGAGATTGACCGCAGCGGACGGGTAGGGCCAGCGGAGAC